CTTGCACTAAAACACCATCTTAACTTCTGAAATAAAAATGTTTATTCTCTCCTGATCTAAACTCTGGTTTTTTCTTTTTTGCTTTGTAATAGGCAAGTTTGAGCAACCTAAATTCCACCATTTATTAGCAGTTTAATAATGAATACTTTCCATGTTGCTTTAGTCCCTGCATTGAAAAAAAAAAACCTAATATCCCAGAACTCTACCCTTAAGATGAGCTCAGTGAGAAGTCTTTATCTGCCTTAATCTTTTTAAAATTGTATTTTATTTTATTTTGGTACCAGAGATCAAACTCACTCTTGGCAGGCAGGCACTTATGGCGCTGAGCTAAATCCCCAGCCCTCTATCTGTCTGCCTTAATCTTAACACTGTTTCTGCTGGTGAAGTTGTGTGCCATTTGGTCCGATAACTTTGCTCACCCATTCTAAGTGTTAGTGAGGAGAGCTGAGGGCTATTCTTTTACTGCACTAAGAGCCTGTAAGATCAAGATTTCTTTCCTGTGAGGCTGATCACAGGTTAGATTTCCATGCCAGTTGTCCCATGCATGTCACAGTAACTCAGCCCTTGCCTGCCTCCAGAACTCCAACCAGTGAAACAGAACACTGTTATTTGCAAATAAGGTGACCATGAGAAAATCTAAAATGTTTGCCTGAATCTTAAAATTGAGGACAGGTGTGGTGGTACATGCCTGTAATCCCAGCACTCAAGAGGCTCAGGCAGGAGGATCACTGTGTGTTTTGAGGTCAGCCTGGGCTAAAAGTAAGTTCAAGACCAGCCTGAATTGCTAATGAAACCCTGTCTCAAAAGTTAAAAAAATTGATTTATTGTCATAAATGTGTTATTTCTGTTAAAAACAATAGTAAGGGGGAAACTAAAAATAAAATAGAGTTTACCTTCCTAGAGATACATTTCCACTGTCCCTTAATTTACTGTCTACTAGCTCAGGGAGTCCAAGAGAAATTTTCATGAATGAGGCCCCAAAGTTAAAGAACACACGTGTGTAAGACATCAGCAATAACAGTAGACAGCATGGAGTGCAGCAGAGAATGCAAGGACAATAGTGCAAGAGAGCCACCTGCATCGTTAGTGTATAATTCTTACACAGGTTGTTATCTCATATTTACATTCTTGTACAGTGTTGTAACCAGCACATACATGTTTACCTGTGCTAAGTCATGGCTATGTATTGTGCTAGACAAGTGGAATCACATCCTCAGGTGTCCTTAGGTACCCATGAACTTTGAAGCAGTTTGAGTGGTTCCTACACTCTCATTAGAGATTTATAGTGGCCAGGATTCTCTCTAAATCCTGTTTTTGTACTTACTGTTGCCTTGTCCCAAAGACCCATCCCTGCATTTTGTATACAACATGATAGGTGAGATTGCTCTAATACAGCCAGACCATTTGCTCCTGAGACCTTTCCAAATTCTCTCCATGGTCTCTTTTTGGTTTTATTAAACACTAGAAGCCCTCAAACACTTATATAGCACTTAGGTCCTTACAGATACGGGCAGGTCTTATTAGTATTAACTACTTATTCAGCTGTTTGCTGCTTTAACTAAGGCTTTATCCTGTATTTTCCATTTAAGTATATTTTGAACTTGTTCATAAAAATATTCTTTCACCTCTTATTGGACTCACCCACAAACTCTGTTCTGCCTAGCTCTTTGTCAGCTATGACTGAGAATGCCTTTGACTTTGTTCTTACCCTAAATTTGTGTCTTCAGCAAATTTAAATTACAAGACCAACAGAGCTTTTCTGTTTTCTGATAGATTTATGTCACATTTTGTTTGTTATATTTATAGACATTTGTATTGTTTGTACTTTTCAACCACTGTACATCAGTTTTTTTGTAAGTTCTAAGATTGTATTTTAGAAAAAAGGGGACCACATGCAGAGGGAAGGGGCAACTGCTGCTCTCTCCCTGAGCCTCAGCTCACAGCATGGGAGGGGTGACTATAGAGGAACAGTGACTACTGGTGACTCCAGAGGCCACCTCAGAAAAACCAGTGGAAAAGAACACTGTGAATTGCAGTGGCTGGCGAGTTATTCAGGTTCAGATGCCCCCCAAGAGACGGTGATTGGGTAGTAGCTACTTTGGAAAGAGGCCAATGGAAGTCAGAACTCAGAGCAGCTGTGGGTTGGCTCTAGGTGTCAGGGTGAAGCATAGGTGAATTCAAACACGAAGGAGGTCAAGGAGCTGAGTTCAAACTGACATGAGGCATTCAGAGTGTTGTGGCTGGAAAACTCAGGTCCCAACCTCACAGCCAGAAAGCAGAAGTAGCCTGAACTTCAGTGAAATAAAGAACCAGGCCTTTTCAGATTATATACCACTGCCATAATTCTGCCGCCTTTCTGGGATCAATCAGTATGAATTTGAACTCTGTCTTCCCCCTCTATCAAATAGTGACAGCAAAGACATACCCTGAAGACAACATTTTTTTCTGCTTTTCTTCCTTTGCTTTTTATTTTTATATATTTATTTTTGAAATACTTTTTCTATTTTTTCTTGATTACTTGTTCTTGTTTTTAAAATAAGTTAGATCATTGCTTCAAGTTTTTGTTGTTTTCATTGTTTTGTTCTTGTTTCTGCCTACTTTCTGTTCCTCTGCTTCTTCACCAGTTCCCAAAGCTTGCATATCTTCTTTTGTCCTCCAGTCTTGCTGCTAATCTCTTTCTGTTCTTCTGTTTCTCTGTTTTTTTGCCTCTTTCCTTTAAAATTTTCTCTTTTGAGGAAGAGAAATTGAGGTGATATTTACTGTACACAATTTTCTGGTTTGTTTTAGATTTTGTTACATAAATATAAAATCTTGTTCATACAGTTAAAGGTGGCAAATTAATAGTTACCGGAGTTTGTCATTTGCAGCATGGTTTTGGCAATAGACAGGCCTGAGGATCAGTGGAACAGAATAGAAGACACAGACGTATGCCCAAACACACCCAATAACCTCCTCTTTGACCAAGGAGCCAAACAGTTCACTGGAAGAAAGATAGCCTCTTTAATAAATGGTGCTGGGAAAACTGTATTTTCACATGCCAAAGACTAAAACTAAACCAATGTCTCACCATCCATACTAACCTAAAATCAAAATGGGTCAAAGATCTAAATATTAAAACCTAAATTTGCTGGATTTTGCCAGCTGTTCCTCAAACACAAGACTAATTTCTAGAATATATGAAGAACTCAAAAAATCAGACCCCCTAAATTTAAAGACCCAATCCAAAAATGGGCATCTAAAATAAAGACACTTTTCAGTTGAAGAAGTACAAATAGTAAATAAATATATGAAAAATGTTGAACATCACTAGTCATTTGAGAAATATAAATTAAAACAACACTGAGATTCCATCTCCAGAAAAAATGCTTATTATCGAGAAATCAACCTTTAACAAACCCTTCTCTACTGTTGGTGAGAGTGTAAACTGGTGCAACCACTGTGGAAATCAGTGTGGAGATTCCTGAAAATACTAAAACTAGAGGTTCCTTTTGACCCATGCCTTGTTTCCCCTTCTTGGTATCTTCCCAAAAGAATTAAAAGCATCATACCAAAACTATATATGCACACCCATGTTTACAGTGACACAATGTTTAACAGCTAAATCCTGGAAACAGACCAAATGGCCATCAACTGGTAAATGAATAAAAAAGATGTGGGTTTTAAAAAAAAATACAATGGAGTACAACTCAGCCATAAATAAGGATAAACGAGACATTTCTAGGTCAGTGGAGGCACCCAAAGACCACACTTTTATGTGAAACAAATTAAACACACACATGTAAATAACATATTGATGGGAGAAACTGAAAGTGTAAATGAAGACCAAACTGTATAATAAATATTGCAAAATAGGAAGAAAATATTCAAATGGGAAGAGGAGAGGAGGAGAGGGAGGAAGAAAGGGGAAAGAAAAAAAGAATTGAAGGAAAAGATGGCAACAAAGATTTTGGAAATAAGGAGGGGAAGAGAGGTAGAAGGGAGGGGAAGTAAATAGAAAAAAATTAAGATACATCATGTATAAGTACAAATACCCTATGATGAATGTTATTATTGTGTATATATATCTAAGAAATACGAATAAAATTAATTTTAAAACATAGTGGAATACTTTAAAAGATAAGATTTTGCAATAAAATATACTATTGTTTGAGTAAATTTTTTTTAGCACTTTGCTGATTATTGACATCTTTTACTGGAGTAAATTTATGAAAGTTTCAAATGGCAAAAAAATTGTGCTTTATAATTTGAAAAAGTTTATAAACTATGTTGTGCTAACTTATGTTTTTTCTCTTTCCAATTAGACTTTAAACAGTGTGTGGAAATTTTGACCTTGAGCTCCATTGTTATCTTTCTCAGGTATTTTTTTTTCTATTTTCTAAAAGTAAATCCATGCTCTCCACTTCTAACACGATACCCAGCAGATAATGAAACCAGTAAAAGACTTTCATTGGGAGTAGAGGTTGGTTCAATTTTTGGTGGGTAATTAGCTAATGTTTTTCAGTCTTTGAGGCTATGTGTCTTCCATTTCAGTAATTCTACTTGTAAGAATGAGTCATAGTTGCATTTATGCATAAGCATTTCACATTGCATTTTTACAAGAATAAAAGCAGAACTGAAACAAATTGAACTAGCAGTCCATCAAGTTAGCCTGGTCAAATAAATTATGGTACTTTTCATTGTGTTATTTATCACCTGCCATTAAAAAACAGGGAGATATACATTTAATAGGAAACTCAGCACTAAATCAATACATTGAACAAAATGGATGGTAGACATTTGTATAGGAAGAGTCTAAATGTAAGTTTTGAAGAACACACAACGAACTAGGGCGACGGGATTTTACTTTTTATTTCCTGCCCTGTGCAGAATTTAAATTCTGAAAGGTGTATATACAAACTAATCGACCACTACCCGCCTCCAGTGAAGGAGGGCGCTGTGGCCGCGCGGGTCTTATTTAGGAACCTTACGTCTGAAACGACGTTGCGTGATGTGGTGACGCCAACGCGTCAGGCGGGGACGCAGGCGCAGTAGCGAGGCATCCGTATGCCTTTGGAGCGTTTTGGTACGGAGAAGTCGGGACCACGGCTCTGACTTGCTTGAAATCCGGAGAGCGGCTTTTCGGGACCCACATGAGCCAATGGCGTCACGCACGCAGTGGCTGGAGCCGCGGACGCGACTTTCATGGACCTCCTTCAGCCAAAAAGAAAGGTGGAAACCGCATCCCGGAAAGGTAATGAGGCTTGGCTCGAGGCCTCCGCCCTCAGTCTTGTAGCTCTGGGCACGGCCCCGTCTCGAGCTGTCGGCCTCGCTCTGTGTCCCGGGGCGCCCCGCTGACGGTCCTGGCCTCTCCCCACGCCGCCACTCGCGGTAACCAAAAGGAACAGTGTCAGGTTCTGTGAATTCTTCCCGTTCTTAATTAAAAAGTGAGCTGTGTCCTGTGCTCCTCTGGTAAAATACAAGAAAGACTGTCTTGATGCGGAACTGTTCGTGTTGGGACACTCCTAAATTACCAAACGCTGAGCGGCTTCCGTCATTACATCACACTATTTTGCCACAGAAAGTACCAATGAGAAGTTTTAAAGACCTCCGTCTCGGCGGCCTTGCAACCCATCTAGTCTTACTTGGAGAGTTTGTTAACAGTATTCATAGGACTACAAAGGGAAGCTGGTGCTTCGTCACACCTGTCCTTTGAGGAACGCGCTTTTATTTTTCAAATGGTTTTTAAAACTTTGCTTGCCGGGCGTGGTTGCATACCTGTAGTTCCAGCTTTTGGGAGGCTGAGGTAGGGAGGATCCCCGTGAGTTCACGGCCAACCAGAACTACAGGGCAAGACCCTGTCTCAAAGAAAAAAAAAAGTTGATATATTTGACAACTCTCTTCTATTCTTTGAGACTTTCTGCTGTCTCATACTTAAAGGCTGTTTTATTTTGTCACCCCAACAGTTTTTGAATCTGTTGTCTTTACCGTCCTAATGCAGATATTGAGTGACCTATTATAGTTAAATATGAGTCGTGTCCAGGTATCTACTCTTTACTTCCTTAAGTCCGAACTCTTTAAGTAGGTAATTATTAAAAGTTGAAATTGAACTGTAGTTGGAAGGTAGCTCTTAGACGTTAATATAAAGCATTGTCAGCCAGGCATGCCTTTAATCCCAATACTAGGGAGACGAGGATTGCTGCCAGCTCTGGGCCAGCCTGGTGTACATAGTGGGTTCAAGGCCAACCTGAAATACATAACGAGACTATCTAAAAAAAACCCCCAAAATTTACTTTACCAATAACAACAAAAACATACAAAAAACCCCACTTCTTTTTATGTCCCATAATATGAGGATCTACATGGTCAAGGATCCTCTGTACTTCTCCAGCCCCATCTCTTGTCACTTTTGTCCTTTTTTTTTTTTTTAAACTTAAAATATACTGAACTAAATGTAGTTAATTCTCATTCTACAGAAGTTGGCTCAGTATTACTTTTCATTGTGAATCTAGTGCCCCTAAATTAATTTCACAGTCCTTTTTAATCAGATGTTCTCGAATACAAATTGGAAGTTTTGTTCTGATTGAATTTAATCATTTCAGTTGCATGAAGACAAAACCTTATGAAGTGATAGAATTGAATTTAAATCATTTCAGCCACTGTGTATGTATTAGTGACATCTAATTATTTGATACTGAGTTAGGTTATCAAAGTTGCATAAGTTCTCCAGCTTTTTATGTTCCTTAAATGTGCAGATTTTTGTCCTGTATTATTGCAAAATAGGACTTTTCCAGATGGGTATGTGGGAAGGAGAGTATCAGTTTTTACTAGGCAAGAGTGGATAAATTGAGTGGCAAGACAGGAACTTTTTGGGTGTCCTGTAACTACTGTTTTCAAGGAGACTTCATTCTGTGCAGAGAGATGAGGGTAAAATACAATTTGGCTGACAAAAAACATATCTGCTAGGTGGAAAGACTACCTCCCAGTTGGACAGCGGATGCCTGGTACTCGTTTCATTGCTTTCAAAGTACCTTTGCAAAAGGTAAGCAGAAGTTCAATATTTTTTCAGAAACTAAATTCACCCTGTAGAACACTGGTTCTCAACCCTGTCTTATTCTAGTTTGTTTTTGTAGCAAATATGTTGTAATGGCTCCATATTGTCCTGAAATTAGCTTCACACATGAATTTGATCAACTTCCATATGTAATTTTAAAGAAAGAAAATTAGTGTAGCTTTCTATTTAGAATATAAAGGATAAACCAGATTCATAATAAAGTAATATGTTTTCAGTGTATAAATATTTTTGCATGACTACACTAGAGGATGTAAAGAAATGCTTGATTGTATTTGTAGTGCAAGAACTACAAATTTGGGCCAGGGGTTTAGCTTAGTGGCATAAGCACCTGTCCTAGCAAGTGTGAGGTCGTGAGTTTGATCCCCATACCAAAAAAAAAAAAAAAAAAGGAACTACAAATACAGAGTAGGTGAGTTACATATATTTCCTTAGTGGAAGAGATACTCTGGCAAACTACTCTTAGTAGATTTCTAAGCAAAAGAAAGATCAGCCTTCACTTTGTTGATAAAATGATTACTATCGTGGGAAATTTAATATATATTAAAATTGTGCAAAAATACTTTTGTGAAATGAAGTTCTAAGGCTTAGAGAAATAGAAACAGTTTTTGCTTTTTTAACCTATATTAATGTTTACTGGGATGCTCAAAGTCACAAGAGATGGAACACAGACGTGTGTGTGTGTGTGTGTGTGTGTGTGTAACACTGTAAAACACCTTTTTCTCATTCATTCACTTAGAAGGGGCAAGGGTTTAGCTCAGCAGCACAAACGCCTTTTTTTCTTTCAATCACTTAGAAGAGAGATTTGTAGTATAGCTTCCAGGAGAATGAAAACTTTCTTTTGTGTCTCATTGTACATTAGTGTCATATTCTTTGAATAACTGCATAACACATTTTAGAATTCAAAGCATACATTTGCTTTCTTTTATTTTACTGTCTTTGACAGAATTTTGAAGTGAATCTTGCTTCAGAAGAACGCTTTTCTCTTTTGGATCTTTTTAACAAAGTCCAAGAGCAAAATGAAGAGCTTGGACTGATTATTGATTTAACATATACTCAGCGCTATTACAAACCAGAGGTAAATACTTAATTGAAAAGAACTTTGTTTATTCTGATACTAAAATAGTTCATAGTAATTCAGTAATAATTGAGTAATTTTCATCTTGTGCTAATACAAAGCCTGGCCATCTGTGGGTAATAGTAAAATTTAAAAGAGAACAACCAAATGTGTTTTTCAACTGCATGTTTAAATTCTGTCTTAAAATGGGATTGGAGACATGACTTAAAATTTAATATTTGGTCATTGTTACCAGTGTCTGTATGCAAATCACTTTTATCATCCTCAACAAGAACTTTGTAACCGTTATACAGTAATTCCCGTTTCTTTATCCATTTAGGTCCTGGTAATGTCTAAATCTACTTTCTATCTCTATAAATGTACCTATTTCAAGTACCTCCTACAAGTGTGTTATACAGTATTTTTCTTTCTTTTTCTGGCTTATTTCAGTTATGTTTTTTAAGGTTCATTCATGTTGTGTAGTCTGTATCAGAATCTTTTCCTTTTTATGGCTGAATATTCTATGGTGTGTATATGCCATGTTTTGTTTACCCATTCATTTATTGGTAGACAATTGGGTTGTTCCTTTGGCTATTATGAATAATGCTACCATAAACATTGATGTATAAATACTTGTTCAGATCCTTGCTTTCAGTTCTTTTAAAGGTATGATTAGGAGTGGAATTACTGGATCATACGGTAGTTTATTTAACCTAACAAGTAATTGCCAGAGTTTTACAATGTTATATTCTTTCTTGTGAGCTATTATCTGACATTCCAAACAAATACAGAAAGTAACATATACTTATTAGTGTTCATTGTACACCCATTAATTCAACATACTCAATTTTAACATCAATCAAGTGTGGACTATTGTGTTTAGGTATCTTTCCTCATTTGCTATTATTTTAAAATCTCATATAACTTCACTTTCATTGATATTATAACTTTGTACCTTTAATATACATATTTAAAATAGAATGCTTTTATTCCTTAATATCAATTTTTGTTTGTTTGTTTGTTTACTGGGGATTGAACTGACAGCCTTGCGCTTGCCTTATTTGTGCCGCTGAGCTAAACCCCTGCCCCTTAATATCAGTTCTTTAATATCAAGTACTCCATCTGTTGTTTAACTTAGAATTATTTCCTAAATGTAATAAAAATTGTCACCCAGCAATTAAATTTGTTACATGTTAATTTATAGTTTTCCCTTAACATTGATCTCTTTCATTTTTTCCTCGTTGAATTATGTTTGAATATCATGTCCTGTTAATATTTTGATAACTGATTATATTCTAGACCTTTTATTCTTTTGTTTTCTGCAGATTGGTAGTTGAACCTAGTTTAATTGGTGTTCAAGCTTTATTTTATTTATTTTTTCAAGATGTTTTATAGGCAATCTTAGGCTGGGGATATAGCTCAGTGGCATAGCAAGTGTGAGGTTGTGAGTTTGATTCCTGGTACAAAAACAGAAATGAAAACAAAAAATATAGGTGTTGTTTTCTTCTATGAGGAGGCTAATAAATGAATCGATTTCTCTTTCTATAAATAGTCATTCATTGGCCCCTTCATTTTTGACACACATCAAAAATTATAAATTCTGTCATTCTTTTTTTAAATTATTCATTACCTAGGTATATGCAATTCTGTAAAGAGGAATTTCTCCTTGTCAGATATTTTAGGCATGAGCCTTTTTTAAAAATTTATTTTATCTTAAAGAGGATAGAACCAAGGAAAGTGAAACAGAATAAAACCAATCAAACCAATGTTAAGTGATCCAGAGTTTCAAAACAGTTTAAAATCAACATCAGTTACCATATTGCCTCTTGTCTTCAAAATAGCTGCAGATACCTTCAGACATAGTAAAACTCAAACAGAACAGAACCAATAAAAACAAAACAATGAATGCAGTAAGGGACTTCAAAACAAGACAATTGTAAATCCAAAATGGCTACCATAATATAGCTTGCTGTCTTTGAAGCAGCTGCCTATGTCATTGAATATAACAATCAAACAGAACAAAGCACAACCCAACAAAACAGTGAAAATGATAAGGACTTCAAAACAAGGTAATAGGAAATTAACAATGGCTTCCACCTTGAGAAAGAGAATCCCCCTAAATGCCACACTGTGTACTGATAGTCTCTGAATAGAGATCAGACCTAAATGCCACACTGTGTACTGATAGTCTCTGAATAGAGATCAGACCACTGGCCCTAGATCTGCAAGGTCCGTGAAACGCCAAAACACCACAAGCATCAAATTGCATTTCACCTCAATATCTGAGCCTGTATTTCTCTGGATCAGCAGGTTGCTTATGGGGGTTAGGGGAAGGGGATTGACTTTTCTTGTTTACCAGCCCATGGGCTCTCAGGGGCTGAGGTCTGATTGTCCCCTTCCAGCTAAGGACCTTGCATGGCACTGGTTCACAGAGAGGGCTTTCTTCTTGAAGCCTTGTTCTCTCCCCTCACAGTCTGCAAATGGCACTGACTCACGGGGTAAGGCTAGAGTCTGGTTGTCACCTTGCCTGTGCCACTGGTTCTCAGGGAGCGTTTTCTTCTTGGAGAATCCTTGTCGGAGCCAAATTCCTCCACCCCACCCCCCACCCCCCCGCAGTCCGCTAATGGTACTAATGGGGAAAGACTGGGGTCTGCTTCTCCCCCTGTTGGCTGCAGCCCTTGTGTGGTGCTGGTTTGCAGGGAGGACTTGCTTCTTAGTGAATCATCTGTCTCTCCTCCCGCAGTCTGCTGATGGTGCTGACTCACAGTGAAAGGCTGGGGTCTGGCTGGCCACTACCCACCAGCAGTGGCCTGCATATGGTGCTGGTTCACAGGGAGGGTATACTTCTTGGTGAATCCTTGATGATGCTTTCTTTTTATTTAATAGTGTTTGAAATAGTGAGTTGGTTCACTAATATCTTTCAGTGATAGCAAGATTTTATTTAACTAGTTTTGTGTCATCATAAACTCTGATGCAGTTGTCTGTCTTACTGAGGCACAGGTTGAGTCCTTGCCTTTGGACAATTGGAACATCTTAATTTGGCTTCTTTTGATAGTCTTTGATAGTCTTCTTTTATTAGTCTTTGATAACTTTTTTTGGTATTTGTATGGAAAAAGTTGCAACACGTCTCGTATACATACAGCCTCAACTCGAATCTTTCATTGTAACAAGATGCTTTGATTTCTTTTAGTGGGAATATTTTGAAACTACAAGTCTGCATGCTAAGAGGTGCTCATTGCTGCTAGGCTGACCTTGTTCCTAGGCTTTTTGTATAGGTAGAGCTGGGAGCTGGGTTTGTAATATAAACTAAGTCATGAATTTTTCTGTTACTTTCTATTTATACTTAGATTTTCAGGATTTTCAGTTACCTCTTCTCTTATCTGTGTCTTAATTCCTACCGTCTCAAGAATATTTATGCTTGGCAGCTGCTTTATGAAGGCATTGGCCCTTGAAATGTGAAATATTAGGTAGAACTGCTCATGGGATTTTTAGTTATATTGTGCCTGTATTCACATGTAGTTTGATGTGTCTTGTATACCTGTTAACTATCTGTCCTGTGGTTTTATCAAGTAATATATCTATCTTGGTTGAAGCAGCTTTGGAAAAAAATAGCTCTTTCATCAGAATTACTGACTCACAGAGTTTATTGTAATCTCTTGGTTTATCATATAGTTGTTGTAATTCTTTTTGAAGAAATGAAATAATATATATTTTTCTTGTTTTGCTCTATAGGATTTACCAGAAACTATGCACTATTTAAAAATTTTTACAGTTGGGCATCAGGTGCCTAATGATAAAACTATTTTTAAATTTAAATGTGCTGTTAATAAATTTTTGAAGGAAAATAAAGATAATGGTAAGTTTTTGTTTTTGAAAAAGTCTAAATTTTGGTAATTTTAAATGGCATTGGATATTGTTGATAGTTTTAAAGTTTTGACATTGTGTTAAGATGAAAACATGAATTGATCATACAATGTTTTTCATTTTGTTGGTCAGATAAAGTTTACTTTGAAAAGTGATTTTAGTAAGAAAGATGAATCAAACTACCTCATATATAAGAAGATGAAAAAAACCTTGTTTTATCTTCTGCATTGGTTAGGAGATGACAGATTTAAAAAAACAGAAAATCTCAGAGTCTGAGAGTTACACAAAAGAAACAGCAAAAGGCAAATGCTAGGAGTAAGATGGTCCCAAATAGAACCAAATAAAGTATGAGCCAGTGGAATTGTACATTTGTTTTGCATATTTAAGGCATTTCCACTATTTTTTTCCATTTTGATTACAATTTTGCTTGTGTTCAGTATCAGAAGGTCTGCTCTGTAGCTCAGTGTTTAGAGTGCTTGCCTCTAGTACTGCAAAAACAAACAAACAAATGAGCAAGGAAGAGAGGGAAGGCTAAATGAACGAAAAGAAAGTTAAGCCATTTTATTTGTTTCATTTTAAAACAAATTTTTCTTTTCAGTACCTGTTGTTTTACTTACTTTTTCTATAATGAAATCAGTTCTAATGAGTATTTTAAGACAGATAACTTTGTCTCCATGCAGTTTTAGCTGTTAATACCTAAGTAGGCCTTTGCAGTTTACATCATTGGGTCTAATGGAGGCTATGCAAATTTTTCTATAGAAAGTGAATGTTGGTTTTCTCATAGATGTTTCTTTATAAATGTTCCTGAAAAATAGATTCTTTTCAGGATATTGGTAATGTTACAGTAACTTGTACGTTACTCTTGAGAAAATTGTCTTATTTATTTTTAGTCTATTTCAGTTACTTCACTGTATTTCTTGTTTTATAGACAAACTTATTGGTGTCCACTGTACCCATGGTTTAAACAGGACTGGCTACCTCATCTGCAGGTGAGTTGCCAATCCTAGAGGTAAATCATATTTAAATTGTTTTTGTCTGAACACAGTGATTATAAGGTTGTTGCAAAAAATGAAGTCAGTATATAAATGTGTGAAATAGAAAGCACTCTTATGTCACCAAGAGGTTACCATCATTAATACTTTAATATATGTTTAGTGTTCAAAAATGTAGATAAAAGCATAAAGTGTGGTTCTGCTATAATAGATATGCTATTTAGTGCATTGTCTTGTAAACATGTTTCTATAAAGGTTCTTAGAAATCTTACTCTTCTTAAAGGCTGCATTATTCATTCACATGCTGATGAACATGAAAGTCAGAAGTTTTTAATATTTAAAATAGTGAGCATTCCTCTCTGAACATCTTTGAATATATATGGAGTTATCTCAGAGGTAATTTCATTCAGAATGGAATTTCTGAGTCAGAGTACACATTCTTAATACTTTTTTATTGCTATACTGTACCTATTTATGTTTCTTCATTCAGAAAATGTAGAATTGCCCTTTGTGATGGAATAGATAGGAAAGAATCACACATGCATATAAAATTGTAACTGACAAGTGCTATGCAAAGGGACATGGTATTATAAGTGGTTATAATGGAAAGGATTTGACCTCATTAAGTGAAAGGACTAAAGGTTTCCATGAGGAAGTTTGAGGAATTTATATATGAAGAATTTATCCATGAGGAAATTATATATGAAGGTTGAATTGACAGTAATCAGGTAGGAACATGGTGGAGAGAATTGTGGTTATCAGCAAAAGCAAAGACTCTAAAACGGGTCAATACACACTATGGTGGAGAGTTCCATGGGGTAAGTACAATATTAGAATGAAGGCGGCAGCATAGGTAGGAGCTAGATAACACAGAACTATGTTTAAGGTTTTAAGAACAACAGAAAACCACGAATGTTTTTGAAGTGGTGAGTGTATGGAATATAATACAATTTTGCATTTTTAACATGTCATTTTACTACTGAATGGAGAATGGATCACAGAGGAAAGAAGTAGAAACAAGGAGTCAAGTTAGGAAACTTTCAGAAAATGAGGCATGACAGTATCCTGGAGCAAGATGTGTTGGCTATTTTGGGGGGAAAATATGGCCATATTTCAGAGATTATTTAGGTGATATCTTGCCACAATTTGTTGGCAGCATGAAGGTGAGAATGAGAAGAAATAGCTGACAGTGATGATGACTCCTCTGTTTTTGGCCCATACAGTTGGTTACACCATATTTTTTGGATATGATCTTACTATTTTACCCAGTATGTCTTTTGTTTGTTGTTGGTTCCTGATAAATATTCTGTCACATCAAGGAAGTTTTCTGATTTTAGTGTACATAGCATTTTGTTCAAAATACCTCTTGAATTTTTTCAAATACCTTTTAAACACCTGCCATTTTGAGTCTGTATTTTCTTTCCTTCTTTTAGTTATCATAGTAGTATACGTACCTTTATTAATAAATTTCCTAAAGTTGGGTCATCCTTTTATTTTTGGAATAGTCTTTTTGTTGTGGCATATTGCTCTTTAGTAATTGTTGGATTAGATGTATTGATATTTCCCTAAGACCTTTATGTTTCCATTTGTAAGTGAAATTGGACCTTTTTTGAAAAAACTTTTTTTCTTTTCGTATACATAAATGACCCAAATTATGTTGTTTTGTTAGATATTTGATTGATGTAGAAGGCATGAGGCCAGATGATGCAATTGAATGTAAGTATGAGGGTTGTCGCTATTTTCCCCTTTTTATAAAAGTTAGAGGTAAAAATGTAGATCAGTTTCTCAAATTTTGAAAAAAAATTCATAATTCATTTGCTCCAATATAAAATATAAAAAAAAGAAGAAAAAACAAGTCTTGGGGCTGAGGGTGTAGCTCAGTGATAGAGTGCATGCCCAGCACCCAAAAAAAAAAGAACAAAACCAAACAATTCCCCCCCCAAACCATATAAGGCAATCTTTCCAAAAATTTATAAAAGGATGTGTCTGAAAGTCGTGAGCTGTAACCGCCTAAGTAATTAGTCAGTGATTTATTTTTATCTCTCTGGGAAGGATTTGGTATTTGTAAAGTAACTTCTAATAATTCATTCACTCCTCAGTATTCAATAGGTGCCGAGGACATTGCATAGAAAGGCAAAACTACATTGAAGATCTTCAGAATGGTCCTATCAGAAAGTAAGTGTTACATTTCTTAGGTGATGGTGGTGGGTTAAGAAGATCTCTTATTTTATGTAATTCAAGTTGGATATATCTGTTCTTATAGATCTCTTTTTTAAATAATTTGAATTGAATATATCCATTCTTTTCATAGGTTTTTCCTTACTGGAAAGAGATTGTTATTTACATAGGCCAAAAGTAGCATAACTAAAATGGCTTCTAAATTTGAAAATTTAGTAATTTAGTAATACTGTGTGGAAATATTCTCTTTGAGGAACTGGAATTCCGGTGTATGCAGATCAAGTGGTTTTGAAGATTCTGAGGAACCAGTACACAGCTATAACAACAGATCTGTTAATGGTGGACCAAAGTATAACCTACACAATCTACCCCCTACCCAGCATTTTCATAACCGGACCCAGAACTGGCAACAATCAGTCAGGTACCTCTGCTTTCTCTTTATCTAGAACTGAAACAGAAATTAATACTTTTTTTTTTTTTTTCTGCTTTTTTTTTTTTTGTCTTTTTCCTTTTTATCGGTACCGGGGATCGAACTCACGACTGCCTGCTTACAAGGCAGGCGCTTATGCCACTGAGCTAAATCCCCAGCCCCAGAAATTAATACTATTAATCAGTGAAAAGATATTATGATAATGATAAGGAATTGATGTTTTCTTGCTGATCAGTATCAACTAGTGGGTATCATCCTGCTGTGTATTTGAAAAACCTAAATACAGGTTAGGGAAGTTTTTTCGTTTGGTACTGGGGATTGAACTCAACCTTTCGTTGCTTATGCTGCTGAGCTAATCCCCAGCCCCAGGGCAGAGAATTTATGATTTCTTAGACAGTTGGGAAAGGAATTAGAAATTTTCAATGATTTTAAACTTAATGTAAGCCATGAGTTTGATGTGGCTTCCAGAGAGAGTCTTGCATTTTTAGGCTATTTTAATTTCGGTATATTTTTCAGAATGAGAAAGGCTATTATTTAAAAGTAAATGTAAATTAAGAAAAATAATAAAATCCCAATAGAGGTATTTGCAGAGCATTTGAATAGGTCGATCACACTTTTGAAATGGGAGCAATCTGAGTTCAGTGAAAGTATTGTATTAGAGTTATCCAGAAAAGCCAGATATAGTGACACACACCCAGTACTCTCAGAGGCTGAGGTAAGAGTTGCACAAGTTAGAGCTCAGCCTGGGCAACACAGCAACTTGGTGAGACCCTGTCTCAAAATAAAGACAGAGGTAGGGGTATTGATCACTGTAAAAACCGTGAATTCAATAAATTATATATTTGTATCTGTATCTCTGTCTATACATCTGGAAGAGAGGAGGAGGAGACAAGCGATTTGAGAAGGGCTTTATTAGGGGAATTGACACAAATGGAGGTGGAGAAGTCCCACAACAGGCTATAAGCAAGCTAGACCAAAGATGCCTGTAATATAACTCAATTAAGTGAGAAAGGCTCCACACCAAGGAACCTGATAGCTTTCCATTCAAGTCCTGAGGCCAAAAGTCTGAGAACTCCGGGGTCACGGTGAGTGTTATGTGGAAAAGGGGGAGGTACACTGCTGGTGAAAGTTCTAGAGTCCAGAGGCTGAGTTTTAATGCCCAAGGGCAAGAGAAGTGTGTCCCAGCTCCAACGGAGAGGGCAGATTTCTACCAGAATTCAAGCCATTTGACTGGTGCCCACTTGCATTGAGGGCAGATCTTAGTCCCTTAGTCCACCAGCTCACACAACAGTCTTTACAGAACATTTTCACAGATACACCTAGAAATAATCCTTTACCTGATATTTGGGCACTCCTTAAGTCAGTCTAGTTGATACCTAAAACTTATCATTGCAAAAGTAAAGCCTTATTCTTGGACTGTTTCGTAACAATTTTTGATGAGCAGTCCAGTGGAGTGTTTGTCAGACTGGACCTGGGTTTGCTTCCTATCTCTGCCATTCACCTAGTGTGTGGTTTTGGGTGAAACACTTAACTTTTCTAAATTTCCATTTCTTATCAGTGGGGTGGAGATTTTAATAATACACAATTCATAAGGGATTGTCGTGACTACATCATTAGTTAAAATAGTTTTAGCACACTATAAACACTTTCAGAAAGTTGTTGGCATTTTAAAGAGATATAAACATTTGAAAAAGGTGGTGATAATAGCATAGAAAATTGGTATAACCATTTTGAAATGCAATTTTAATAGCCATAAATATACCTGGTAGTTTCATCTTGAGACTAAGGAAATACTTCAAAATTTGGGGAAGGCTGAATTCATTAGGTCACTTAGTACGTTTGTAAAGCTCCCCACTATGTCTCAGATACTGGGCTACATGCTTAGTTACAGTAGTATATATTCCTAGATGTTAATTTCAGAAGTGTTTGTGGTAGTACAAGAACTGGTAATAGCATATATGTCTAACTATGGAAGATACAGCAAAGTAATTATAGTATATCCATATTATAACATTTTATAAAGTGTTAGTAATAGGTCACTATAATTAGCAAAAATAGTACTGTGATTCGTGTAAAAAAATGCAGTGAGAAAAAGTGAAAGGAAATGTTAATGTGTTGAATTCGATTAAATGGGATTGAGAGGTTTATGGTTTTTTAATCAGATTTCCAAATTTTTATATGATTATATATTTTCTAATCTTGATTTTGAAAGAATTAAACGTTGGTTATTGCAATTTGTTGCATGTGTCATGGCTGTGGCTTTTTTTTATACTTTATAAAATAAAAGTTCTCTGTTTTCAATATCAAAAATCTTGGTCTGTCTGGTATCAACCATGCCAAACTGGAGAGAATATAGTCATTTAGACTAGTATGGGTATGCATTTATGTATGTAGGAAAGGGTGAGAAAGCTTCTGTGAATATATATATGCCAAGGCATTGTAGGAAACAAAAGTACATTGCTTTAATTTATCTTTATAACAGCCTGTAAAAGGAGGGCACAAATAGCTCCATTTTATAACGAATGAAGAGATAGTCTGTTAAGATCAGAAAGGAAACAGAATCACAATATGGGTTATTTTATAAGGCTTATTATATTTTATTCTAATAATGGTTTATTACTTTTTGTTTAAGAAAATTTTCACAAACTCAGAATGTTTACCAGAGAGGCCATATCCCTCCTCCTGGCCCTGCTGGAGAGGACTATTCACAAAGGAGATACTTTTGGAATATGAAGCCACATGGCAGTCAAGCAGCTCAGAATAAGAGGTGGTATGCTCCTGGTTACCAGAGACTGTCTTCTCCAGCCTATTGGGGATGGAACAAGTGATACAGGCCTGTCCTGGAAATCTACCTGATAAACAGAGCTGGGCTGAAGATTGCTAAAGTGACTTACAGTAAAAATCAGGTCAGATTATTTTTCAGGTCAGATGAAATTTTTAACAAAAATTTATTGCTCCGTTATATGTGTTCAGACTTAAAGAAAAATTATGATAATATTACCTCTTCACTCATAAATTCATATTATAGCAATGCAAAGAATTGGTCATTCCATTTAAATTTTTCTACAGAAAGATATTTTAGATCTGATAAAATATTAACTTCCTTTGCGAATTACTTTTTAAAATTCTATCCTTTTTTTCTATGTATTTCATTTTGATAGACTTGTGATATGATTTTTTTAGTGTTTTTGTTATGTTTGTTGACCCAGTCTTTTTTTCTCTAACTGTTCAAATTTTTTACTAAATTTTACCTAGAAGGACAAGTTTCTTTAGAACCTAGTCACTGTGTGTATTAATTCTTGTATTTTTGTGATTAGGTATTTTTTTCTTGGGCAGTCAGTATTGGAATTTGACCAGCTTCCTTGTACTGAACTGCCAGATGTGCCATCAAACACAAAGATGGATAAAAATATTAGGGATTATTAATTGGGCAAGAAAGATTAATTACAGTGTTGGAAAAATGATAATTTTCCAAATGATCTGATCACAGGATAAATGCCATCAAAGAGATTGAACCATCCATCCAGAGAGCTTGAAAACTTAATAGATTTATAGAAGTTGCTCCATGAATGGAGTAAGATATGAACATAAATTGCCTGGAATATCTAGGACTTATTTTTGTCTTTTGAACATAACTCTCTGGGATCTTTCTCCAGTTGCCTCTTATGCTGGAGTGGTGCTTTACCTCAGGAATACACAGGTAGATCACTTGAGAGGGTGTTAATTATTTTTAGTTGCAGAGGAAGCTAAACATCGTTGCTTGCTTGAGAAGGTATTTAAATACCATGACACATATTAAGCCTCTGTGAATATTTGAGGAATTCTTGGGCAACTCAGACTCATTTTTTTTTAAAGCCTCTTGATTTTGAGGATTTGTATCATAGAATGCCTAATACCATATATGATAGTTGTTTTATATATGAACAATGTGTGGAACCTGACTGTAAGAAAGTACTTGTAACTCAGCTGTTCTCCTTGCCTATATCTCATTTAGTCATGTTGCGCTACTTCATCTAAATGATAGTTCATAAAGTTTTTCTCTGCTTGCCACATTTAAGAGAGATACAGAAGTCCTTTGGTTATAAAATTGTTCCCCAAGAGATATCATGAAGCTTTACATTGGAAGGCATTCAAGCAAAACAGCTGTGAGGCAAAAAAAAAAAAAAAGCATGGGTGCATATGGGAATCTACCTAGTTGTAATGAATGACTTGGCAAAGTGGGTATGTGGTGCACACCTATAATACAGCACTTGGGAGCCTGAGGCAAGAGGATCATAGGTTTTCTTCCTACCTGGGAACTCAGTAAGACCCTGTCTCAAAAAAAAGCCCAGGGTTGTAGCTCAGTAGAAAAGCTCTGGTTCAATCACCACTATGGCTGAAAAGAGGAATGACTCACAAGCCATTTTTGAGGAGCTTACGTTAGTGCCATCATTTAGGCTATGTCACTTTCAGAATTTTTTTTTTCTTGACTCTGTTGCCCCCTTTATGTGCTACACATTTCAATGCTTAGTGTGGCTTATTGAAACAGACCTGCTGTTTGATATCTCATGTCCCATTTATTATTCAGTACACTGGTTCTGGCTTCTGCACTATTGAAAAAGCTTAAGGCCTCTAGGTAAAGGACAAGTACCTTTCTTTTTGAAAAATTTTTAGTGGTCTATTTAAGCTTTTAAAATTTGTTTTTATTTAAAAAGCAAATATGAATAGTTTAAAGTTCAAGTAGCTATGTTGAGATTACCATGAAAAAGAACACTCCTTTGTCTGAACCCTAATTGTCATCATTTCTCAAAGGCAAATACAGTGTTTTATACTATTTAAATAATGTGCGTGTATGTGTGTGGTGTGCCACTTCTTGATTTTTCAATTGTCTTACTATCTGTTAAAGAATTTTTACTATAGTAAATGAGGATTTAGCCCTTTAACACCACACTACAGTTGCTTCCCAGCTTTTGGTTAAATCAGTATTCTGAGTTTGTGTTACTAGCCAAGTATCTTTCCTCATGAGCCATAATTTACCATAGTTATGTTTTCTTTCTTATATGTTTTTTTATTTTTTATTATTTTTTTATTCTCTTTGCTGTTTTCCTATTTACCTTATTCATTCTCTGAATGTCTAATAACATAAAATATTTCAATATGAATAAATGATTGTTTATTCTTTCAAATATTCTTTTTTTCTGTTGATGTCCTGGGAACTAAACTCAGGGCATTGTGCCTACTAGGCAAGTGCACTACCACTAATCTACACCTCTGACTCGTGTGTGTGTGTGTGTGTGTGTGTGTGTGTGTGTGTATCTGTCTATCCTTAATTTTTAAGGAAATGAAGTCTTACTGTGTTGCCCAAGTTGGCCTTAAGCTCCCAGATTCAAGTAATCCTCTCCCTCAGCTTCCTAAGTAGTAGGACCATAGACATATGCCACTGCACATAGCTCTACATTAATTTCTAAGAGCTAGCTCTTTCTGAATGGCAGGTTTTTTTTGCAGAAAAAGATAGTTTTTTCAAGTGATGCACTGTCTTATACTTCGTTAATGTTACCAGATTTTACAGTTTCTTTGGTTCCCTTCATCAGTCTTTTTCTCCCTTATATATACATCTTGTCTCTCATGTGAGAGATGTTCTTGAAACACTTGGTGAGCATATTTATTTGTTATCTATATATACCTAAGATGGCAGCACTAAAAGCCGAGGGAAGTTCTATTTTAGGACAAGATGGCTAATCAGGTTATTACCTTCCCCTTGCTGCACACATTTAGGCTTTATTTTTTTACCACTCTTGTCTTTTTTTCTTCGTTTTTTGAGACAGGGTCTCACCATGTAGTTCAGGTTAGCTTTGAACTCACTATGTACCCCAGAGTGGCCTCAGATTCCCAGTGATCTTCCTACCTCAACCTCATGAGGATTATAGGTGTGTGTCATTCATAAAATAAAAAGAGCCACTAAGCTCTTTTTCATTATTCTGACAGATATCATCTGTAAAATTTTTATTGACTCTCCTATACCATGTCTTATGTCTTCCACCCTGGGGAGTTTTAGTCTTAAAAGTTCCTTAAAATGTCATTCAGTAGGGTTTGGGTAGGGCTAGAAATTTTTGACAATCAGAGCCAGTGTAATGAGATTTCATTACCAAATAAACTTAGGTAATTGTTTTGGTGCTTCACATCCCGGGAGTGTAAGCCATTGAGTGTCCTAAGTCATTATTTGGACCTGTAATGCCAGCCACAAATGCTCCTTCTAAGGAGGGAGGCTCATCTATGATCCTGATTAAACCTTCTCAGTGACCTTCAAACCAGAGTCATAGTTACGTCCTGAAAACAGACTCATTCCTCTTATAAACCTCAAAGCCACCTGACCTTCATACTCTGTTTTCAACCAACTCCTCATTAAGACTTCTGTATCTAACTGCAAGCTGACTTTTCTGTGCCCTTTGGATTCCCTTCCATATCTGCATGCCAGCTATTGATGACTACTCTGTGCCACGCATATTTAAGACACCATACCGTCTTCTAGGCTGTTCGACTGCAGTCTCTCCTGTAGTTTCTGTGAACCAATTATCATTTTAGCCATATCTCCTCCATAAAGTCTTCTATCCCAGTCCTACACTCAAGTGAATGATCCCCTTTTCTAAAAGTACCTTGTGTCACTGATTTAACTTTATTGATGTTATATGAACACAAGATCCAAGTCACCACCTGAGATACCCTCAGCCCGCCCTTTGTGGTAGCACTGTTTGCCTCTGAGTCCACAATGCCCTTTTTAAGCCTTTGCCAGCAGAATTTACTGAGATCCCCAAGCTCATGGGAACCCAAGTTAACTCTGGGCCCGCATGGTCCTTCTGACCCCACACTAAGCCTTTGTGCTCTCACATCTGCCCCTTCCTTTAAATTAGAGGAAGCGCTCTACCCCGCAGACCTTGGGATCTGACTGAAGGGTGGAATGATCCAGAAGTGTGGAGGAGTCAGCTCCTGGGAATTCCTGATTAATGTGATGGAAAGGACAGGAGGGAGACTGGCAGGCAAATGCCCCTTCCTGTGTCCTTGCTGTAGTCTCCTGAGCCATGGTTTGCCTTATGAGTCGTCCAGTGAACGCTCAGCCTCCAGAGTGAACATAAAGACAAACGTACTGCATGTCTTCCTGGCTCACGCAAAGCCTGGCAGGGCGATAGCTCATGACATCACAATTGTGCATTGTATTTTGCTTCTGTTAACATTTTCCTCTTTCTTCCTACTGTGTTCTTATGTATCTCAAATAAAATATTAGTGATTGAATCTTTGCTTCTGGTTCTGATTTCTGACTCTGGGATTTGTTTAGAAATTGGGCGGCCGTAAGGTTTTGGTTCAACCGTAAGGAGGAATTGACCTTTCCACTGGTTTGACAGGAATTCTCCAGAACTTGGCATCCTTTAAGAACAGATAAGTGCCAGTTACATCCAAGTAACAATGAATAAAGAATTATAGGCTTCTAACTCCCCAAGAGGAATATAAGCATGGACTGCAAACATGTACTAGTGGGAAATAAAAATTCTTAAAAAATTATATGTTAAATAGGCAATTAGAGGACCATCTCTGTAGTTTAGCCAGAAAAATAAAATTAGTTTTAATGGATGATCTGAGAATGAGTCAAAAGATGGTGTTTACTCCTCCTCTACACTAGATGAATATACTGAAGAGAGAAGACAAGCTGAAGCAAGAGATGTTTCCCAGAACATTGTGTATCATCAAATTCACAAAGCAGTAATAACTGGTTGGACGTTTAAAAAAATTACAGTTGATGTAGTTCAGCAACACAGCTCATGCCTGGCATATGCAAGGTCATGAGTTTGATCCTGGTATTAAAAAAATACAAATTTCACTTCCAGGATATATTCACATGATCATGGGAATAGTTTGGGGGATCTGTATTAACACTTTAAAGGTTAGACTAATTTTAAGAGAATAAGTTACAGATATTTATGCAGGTCTGTGTACAGTGTTGGTAAGAAAATGTTGATATCCTTAAATTCTCATTTAACACATTTTCAAGTTAGAACTTTTGAACCAAGTTGCTTATGATACATAACGATAAAGCTAACCCTATAGCTATAAGTAAAGGGGACATTTCCTCAGAGATGACTTAAAAAATGGTATGGATGCATCCTATCTTAGCATACAATTCAGTGTCTTTTGTTTTTGTACTGGAGATCAAACTCACGACCATGTGCTTGCCAGGCAGGTGCTTACACCACTGAACTAAATCCCTGGCCCACAATTCAGTGAGTTTTGACAAGTAGGTGCAGGTTTGTAACTACAATTACAATCAAAATATAAAAACCCTCCCCTTTCAAGATCCTATCACCATGTGGCAACTGATCATTCCCATCTTGGCAACTGATCTGTTTCTGATCTCGTTTCACCTTTTCTTGATGTCATCTAAATAGAAAAATAAGTATGTGTCCTTCCAAATGGGTTTCTGTGACTTAGCGCTCTGTTTTTGAGATTCGTCTACATCACTGAGTAGATTGACCATCCATTCCCTTGTGTTGCTGTTAGTATTCCTAGAACTTTGAACAAAGCTGCTATAAAAATTTTTTGCATTAGGTTTTTTGCCTAAACATCTTTTTTTTTTTTTTTACCCCTTGGAGTAGAGTTGCTGCAGGATTGTGGGGCAAGGCAAAACTGGGAAACTTCCAGTGCACACTATTTTACATCTCAGCAAGGTACAAGAGTTTCAATTGCTCACATCCTCACTAGCACTTGGTATTATCAAAGTTGTTGCATTTTGTTTTTGACAGCTGGGGATTGAACCCTGGGCCTTCACACTGGCCTGTATCCTCAGCCCTTGTTACTTTTTTGTTTTGAAATAAGACCTAAGTTCCTCCTGCCTCAGCTTTGCAGAGTGCTGGGATTTATTGTAGCTGTGGTTATAAAGAGATGTAATGTCTTACTGTTTTTAAAAACAGATATAGACAATTGACAATACACTGTATCTATTTATAAGCCAATTAGATATGTTGACCTATATGCAACCATGAAGTCATTACCACAATCAAACATACCTACTACTCAAATGCTTCCCTTCTGCTCCTTAACAATTTTTCAAATTAGAGCTTTTGAACCAACTTGCCTAGATGTATAATGATACAGCTAACCCTATAGCTGTAGGTAAACAACATCCCTTTGCATACCAAGTACCCTATCCCAGCAACCTCTGATGTGCTATCACAGTAGATTAATTTTATATAAATAGAATCATAGTATTCTTTTAACGTTTGATTGCTTTTATTCAGCATTTTAAGATTCATCTATGTTAGCTGGGCATAGGCCTCTAATCCCAGCAATTGGAAGGCTGAGGCAGGAGGATTGTAACCAACCTGGGCTACAAAGTGAGCTTGAAGCCAGCCTGAACTGTGTTACTGGATGCAGAATAACAAATGAGTTGAGAATGCAACGTTTTACAATAAAGAGGGACTAGGCTAGGTGGCTAGGCTTTATTCCATTTGCTTGTAGTAGCAGTTTGTACTTTGTTTTAGCCCCATTTGCCATGTTGCCTCCAGAGTATAAAAACCAGGGTAGGCAGCTTTTTGGGATACAGTGGAAGAGAAGTATTTGTAGATAACTTTCTACTCATCATGGACAGCTTTCTTGAATCTTGGGAGACCGTCTTGCAATGAATCTTCGGCTTCTGTGGAGTCTTTAGTTGTGTGTGTGTGGGTGTTCCACTGCATTCAGATAAGCTGATAATCAATGCATGGTAAACTTGCTTTTCATAAGCCTTTGCATGGACATGTCTGCATTTCTCCTGAGTGGATATTGAGAAGTGGAACTGCTGAATATGGTATGTTTAACATTGTTAAACAAACTGGAACTTCTTGAAAATGGTGATAGTATTTTTTATTATAACAGCAACATAAAGGAGGTTTTTAGTTCCACATCTTTGATAACACTTGGTATTGTTTTATGTTTTAGTCATTGTACTTTAAATTCGTATTTCCCACGATTAATGATATTAAAAATCTTTTTTTCTTTTTGTGGAATATCTTAATTACATTATCTCAAATTAAAGCTCTACTTTGAGCTTTTTTTTTAAGGAAATACCTGGATGTATCTTGTCAGAATGAATTTTAAAAGGGAGGAGATATAGCTAAGTGGCAAAATGCCTGTGTGCAAGCTCCTAGATCGGATCACAGCACTGAAAAAAAAAATACAATCTTCGAGAATGCTATATATATTATGGTGCCTGGAGTGCTGCTCTTCCAGGTACACGAACTTTGCTTTCAGAATCCTATCACTGTTTCAAATGATCGTTTTTTGGTCGATGTTTCTAAAACATCCTATTTACAGTAACAGCCTCATTGCCTCATTTTCCCCACTTTTCTGTTTGTCTCTATAGCACACACGCACAAGACAGCTGTATTTATTACCTCTCTGCAAAGAAAAGCAGTGAGAAGCCCCAACTATAATTAAGATAAAATAAAAATTACTTTATAGCCTTTTACCTGACTTTGGAGGCTTATACAAACACTACACATCAAATTGCAGGGCCTTCTCTACATTAAGAGGCTGCCTGTAATGGCCGGGTGTGTCCTGGAAGCAAATCACTGAGCAGAGTCGGCTCCATGACCCTCCGGAAGTGATTGACTGCTGGGAAAGCACGAAGCAAACCGAGTCCCGCTTGTTCTGACAACGAACTGTAGACTCCAGAGCAGTGGAAACCTACGTAGACTTCATCTCAACACTCGTACAGGTAGGACTCCAGGACGTCTCGGCAAGTCACAACAAAAGTAAGCCCTAAGCTTCCGGCTCGGGCTGATGGGTCCTTTCCGCCCTCGCCGGAAGTGATGGAACAGTACCTGTTATTTGCGTCCGCTCACGGGACTCAGATTTGAGAGGCGGGGCGACCCGAGCCGGCTAATCAGGAAACGGGCTGCGCCACCCGGCGCCACTTCCGCGCCACTTCCGGAAGTTAAGAGATTTGTTTCCGAAGGCAAGATCGGCCCTACGGACAGAGACCGGACCGTGAGTTGTAGCTGGCGGCGATTGGTGTAGAAACTCTAAACCCAGTAGCTTTAAACAGTTTTGTGGGTGGTACTTGTGTTTTCTCAGCAGATATTTTTCACGTGCCTACACAAAGGCTGGCGTAGGAATGCAGCGTGGAGACGATAGCGTCTCCCTTCTAAGAAATACAGTCTAGCAAGGAGACAGACAAGCTCAGGGCGCCGTGGTGCCTGCCAGTGATCTAAGAGTTCGAGGCCAGCCTGTATAGCACAGTAAGACACTGTCTCAAACAACGCCGAATAGGCACGTGGTTTACGTGCTTAGTACTAAGAAGGGCTGGTATAACTGATACAAACCCCATGTCTTGCTGTGCTAGTAATTGGACCCCCGAAAGAATGAAGAAGGAATGAGTCAGCAAGACATGAATAAAGAAACTACCTGTTCAGTGTGTTTGTGACTGGAGGCTGATTGTGGTAGATAAGGTAAGCAGCGCGCAGATCTTAGAGACGGGACAGCTTGACATAAACCAGTTCAGAACACCAGAACTGCACAGTGTAATCTGTGTTTTGAAAGGATCACTGTGACTGCAGGTGGAAGTTGGATGATAGGAAGGCAAGAATTTCAGTGAGGACATCACTCTTAGGAGGACACTGCTATAGAAGAAGGGAAGTGGCAGAGGGTGTGGGAAAGGAATGGATAAATCAAAATGTAGGTGGCAGAAATTCAGGACTATAGGGATTTGAAAGATAGGTGTATTAGTTCATTTTCTGTTTCTAATAACCATATTTTAGATGGAGTGAGTTATAAAGAAAAGTGGTTAGTTTTGGCTAACGATTCTGGATTCTGGTTCAGGAACAGCATTTAGAGATGGCATTGCTGAATACAGCCCTGAGGGCAGCTACATAAGGTATCATATGGCAAGAGACAAGAGTACAGAGGTGACATAGGGCCAGGGATTCAACTCCCCCGGTGTAAGCGCCTGCCTGGGGAGCATCAGGTCTGGAGATCGAGCCCCACTACCAAAACAAAACAAAACAAAAAAACACGAAATAACCTAGCTAAATTTGGCTTTTAGAGCCGACTTTGGAGACAAACGATTGATGCATTTATGAAGACACAGTCCTAATCTGAACGCCCTATGTATTCCCACCTCTAAATATCTTATAATGGAAATTAAATTTCTTTTTCTGCTGCTGCTGCTTCCTCTTCTTCCTTCTCCTTCTCTTTCTTCTTTTTTTTTTTTTTTTTTTTTGGTGACCCAGGGTCTCACTATGCAGCTCAGGCTGACTTTTGAGCTTACTCTGTAGCCTTGGCTGGCCTCAAACTCACAGTGATCCTCCCCAAGTGCTGGGATTACAGGTGTGCCCCATGAAAATTAAATTTCAAAATGAGTTTCACAGAGGAGAAATCATATAACAGATCCAACAATGATTCTAGATTTTCTGCCCTAAGTAAGTGAATTACACTGAACAAGAACAAACTATTTTGAGGTTTGTAAAGTTTCCCTTGTATTAGAAGAATAGATTATTTAATTTCTCCCTGATTGTAAGTGCTTATATTTTGTGTTCTCCCTGTTGAAAATTCAGAACATACACAGCAAAATATATTTTGGGTTTTTGTTTTAGACAGGGTCTCACGATTTAGCCCAGGCTGGCCTTGAATTCTTGGTAATCTTCCTGCCTCAGCCTCCTGAATGCTGTGATTACAAGTGTGTGTCACCATACCAGCCAGGATTTTTTTATCCAGACAATGAAAATCACCTAATATAAGCCAGGAATGCGGGACGTGCCTGTAGTCTCAGCGCTCTGGGAGGCTGAGGCAGGGCAATCAAAAATTCATGCCCAGCCTGGGTAGTTTACTAACTTAACAAGACTCTGTCTCAAAAAAGAAAAAAAAAAAAAAAAGTAAATACAAAAGCTGTGGGAAGGCCATGGTTCAATTCTTAGGACTGCCAATTTGGGGGGGAAAAAAATCATCTAGTCATCTTATTAGTCCAAGTGACTGTTTATGTATTTCTTTCAATTTTTTTTTTTTTGTCTCTTTGTGTATCTTTTTTGTAATTGGTATTATACAGAGTCTAACTTTTGGTACCCATTTTTTAAATTAGACTTGACTATGACTAAAGATTAAACTACTGTGCTAGACAGAATATTATTTACAAATATTTTTTCCCTTTTTCACAATAGAAATAATCAGATGTAATTTCAGCAAATCAGAGACAACTTCTTAACTTTCCCTGTTTTCTTTTTGGTTTTTTTCTTTATATGCTTTTCAAAAACCATAAAATTCAACCATATTTTGTTTTGTTTTCCTTTCAAATGTTTACTTTTTTTTTGTTTTTGTACTGGGGATTGAACTCATGACCATGCGCTTTCAAGGCAGGCACTTAATGCCGCTGAGCTAAATCCCTAACCCAAGAGTATACTTTTTTGTTCTGTGTTCTGTGTTCAATACTCAGCTTTGCACTGAGGCATTTGTGCTGAGCTCCATCTTCAGCCCTTATTTTATTTTGAAACCTGGTCTTGTTAAGTCACTAAATTCTTTAGAGTGGTTGTGAATTTGTGATCTTCCTGCCTCAGTTTTTCATAGGGCTGGGATTATAGACCTGTACCAACAAGCCTTGCTAAGTATACAGTTTTAGATAGTTGTTTAGTCATAAGTAATCCTGTTATTGGCTAGGTAAGTTCTTAACTTTTCATTGTTAAATAATGATAAACATGTCTTATTATAGTATCCAAATTTTGAATTAGTTCCTTGGGAAGGAGTCCTAGAAATGAAGCCTACAGGATGATATGAATTTAGAAAATGGCCCCACCAGTATGTTAACTGTTTGAAAACAGTATTAAGTGTTTGGGATGTAATATAGTTAGGTGGTAGAGTACACACTTGGCATGTAAAGGTCTAGGTTAAATCCCCAGGAAAAAAGTTAAAGTTGTTTTCAAAGATCAAATTTTAGAGTACTTAGTTTTCCATTCAAGGATATAGTTACGTCTTTCTGTTTATTCAGATTATCTCTTTTTTATCGGTACCGGGGATTGAACTCCTGACTGCCTGCTTGCAAGGCAGGCACTTATGCCACTGCACTAAATCCCTAGCCCCTCAGATTATCTCTTATATTGTCTTTTTGCCCCTAGTGCTGGGGATGGAACCCAAGGCCTTCAGCTTGTGTGGCAAGCAGTTCTGTCACTGAGTGCATCTTTACCCTGTACTTCTTTTTGTCTTTATATATATCCTATTCTTCCCTGCTAAACTTACGTGTAAGAAAGGACCACTATTATTTGTTTTTTTAACAGTTATATTTTCTCTGCTAATTCCCATGCATGGAGTTCTGGAATTGTCTTTGGCTCAAGTGTGATTCTTTATACTTTACAATTACTTTTTTTGTTTGTTTTTTTTGAGACAAGGTAGCCCAGACTGGCCTTGAACTGGCAGCAATCTCCCTGCCCAGCTTCTTTGAGTGCTGGGATTACAAGTGTGTGCCACCATGCCTAGCTTTACAATTATTTTCTTAATATTTGTGTCCAGATCCACTAAAATATAAATAAAATAGTGATATCAGAAAGTTAAAAGCTAAGGTGGAGCGCAGTCTCATTAATATTGTAAAGTAGCCTATGTTTCACAGCTTCTTAACATTTTGCTCTTGGCTGTCTCCTGGGCAAACCATCCCTCAGTCACCTGTGCAAGCCTCTCCTCTGGACAGACAGGGGATCAGATGTGGCCTGTGACCTTTTCCCAGCAATGGGAAAAGAGCTAGAAACACCTCAGAAAGGTTAGGAAGAAAGTGTGAGGAAGCCAGATGTGTTGGGGGGTGGGTTTTATAGTTTAACAGCAGGGTCATCTTGTACTAACAATTACTTTCACTTGATAGCAGGGCCATTTTTTAAAAAAAAAGAGTTACACTGTTAAATTTTGTGTTTTATTTTGTTTTGTTTTATTTGAGACAGAGTCTTGCTGTGTTGTCTAGGCTAGGCCTGAATTTACTATGTAGTCCAGGTTGGCTTTGAACCTATGACCTCAGCCCCTGGAGTTCTGGAATTACAGGCATACACCACAATACCAGGGTAATGTTAACTTTTAAATAAAAGAAATCTGTTGGTCATTTTAGGTTGGGTACAGCAGAATCCTGCTTGTCTATGAAATGCAGTTAACACATCAACTGGAGCTATTTCCAGAATGCAAGGTGACCCTTCTGTTATTTAAAGATGTAAAAAATGCTGGAGACTTGAGAATAAAGGCCATGGAAGGCAGCGCTGTTGGTTCATTAATAAATCCTACACTGGTAAGTTACAAAGTGTGAGACTGAGTAAAACGTAAAGGAATTTTCAGAATGTTAATTTTTCATAATGTAGTTAGGCTAAAATTCTATGATCTTCTGGTAAAAAAGTGTTGCTCAAGTCAAACTTGGTCAGCCTTGCATTGAACAATGAGTGGAAGCAGAGGTGCCAGGCCCTGCCCTAAGGAAGAGAAAAGGTTGTGTAGCTCTAACCACAATTGTACTGTGGCACATGCTCAGCTGTTCAGCTTCTCATCTGTGAAATGAGAATTCTCAACTAGACTTGTGTCTGTGGAGAAGAAACGGCACAGTGGTTAAGAGCACACACTGTGGGACCGTAGTACCTGGACTTAGTCCAGCTCTGCCACTTACTTTGACTTGGAACAAGTCATAGCAAACACTTAGTAGTGCCTACTCTACCCTGGCATTGTACTTAGTGCTTTCTGTGACCTAACTCACTTCATCTTCAGCCGCCTCACCAAGTAAGTAGTGTTATTTTTTGGTAACAGATAAAACACTGGTGTCTTAGTTACTTTTTTATCATTGCAGGGACAAAATACCCAACACCCAAAATTAAGGAAAGGAAGGTTTATTTAGCTTACAGTTGTGAAGGCCTCAGGCCATACTCAGCGGGCCCCAAGGCAGGGTGGCATGAACCGTTCATGGCAACCACAAACAACAAAAGCAAAAGAGGCAAAAGGGAGGAGCAAGTCTGTTTTCCTCCCTTGTATTGTATGCAGCAGTCAAACCACCAATCCCAGCGCTACACAACAGACCAATCACAAATGCTAGACTTAGCCTACTTCCAACCCCTCCATGACCAAATGAGGCTTTGGGGGGACATCCAAACACAAACCATGGCAACTAGGAACTTGCCCAGGTTCTCAGGGTGCTAAGTGACAGCTGGAACTCAACCCAGATGTTCTTTATCTCAGTGACTTCATGTTTTACATGTGGATAATACAGATTTATTGAGTAATTTGAGCACTAGAGACAATAATACAAGTAAAATGTTACAATATAGCCTTTCCCATATTAGCCCACAATAATGTTATTTTAAATTGTTTTTACTATTTGAATTCCTTGAAGCTTTAGGATTTTATGATTTTTTAAAACTACTTGGACCGTCTGATAATAATTTTGAAAAATATTGCATATGAGACAGATGAAATAAAGCAAATGCATACTGAAACTACCATAAAATAGGTGTATATCTTTAGATTTTTTTCAGATTCTCTCCTTGTAATTGTTTCTATTCTCTTTGGTAGATTGTTGACCCATTTCAGATACTTGTGGCAGCAAACAAAGCATTTCACCTCTACAAACTGGGAAAAATGAAGACACGAACTCTATCTACTGAAATTATTTTCAACCTGTCCCCAAATAACAATGTAATGTGGAACATACTGACTTTATTTCCATTGACTTTGTCATAATCACATACATGTTCTGTAGTGTTGGGATAGAGGTTAAGTTCTGGGGAACCAGTTGTTAATAATAAACGAAAATAATCACAAAGAGCTCTGCACTGAGATGGGAGGTTTAGCACTGTGTAGACAAATAAGCTTTAGAGTCAGTTTCTGTCTCAGTAAACAACAGTTTGGCTAAATTAAATAAAGCTAATTTTACCTGTCTTTACCATGTAGGATTAGGAAGATCACTCAAGTATTTTTGCCTAAGAGATTGACAGAAATCCAAATGATAAAAATTAGGCATAGACATTTTATACATTCATGCATGTCTTTCCCTCTCCTGTATGCTCCTTGAGGGAATGATGTGTGTCCTTTTCATATACAGTTCAGGAACTAGCTGCTTCCTAGGGCAGTCCTGAATCCATGCTTACGTACTAAAGTGCGCAGGAAGATTTCATGGTTTGCGTTACTGATGGGAATACTTTCTTAATAAAAATTCTTGAGCTAACAATAATGCACATGCATGTAGCACACTAATTTATTGCTGATGAAATTTCAGTATAACTACTACTGTTACTAACAACCAGATAATTTTTAAGAGAAAATTAAGAAGCTTGTGGTTTGGTTAAAATAGAAATGACTGCAAAATTTATAAAATATAGTTAGCATAGTAATAGAGCTCCCCAGTACCTGGAATAAAATTCACCAGGTCATGATTGTTTCTTAGAGATATTTTTGCAATGATTCAGGACATCGTTTCTGTTCTAGTTTTAGGAGCAAATATGTTCATAAGGAGAGGCAGATAAGAAGACAAAAGTTAAGCTGCCCTAAGTTAAATGATATAATGGGAGTATGAATGCACAGAAGGGAGGAGGGTCTGGAGGTGGGGGCTGGATCCTCCAGCCTGTATTCAGCAGCCCAGCCACAGAAAAGGCTGATGGGACAGAGGACAAAGCATAAACATAGGCAGAAGAATATGAAACACGGAGTCCAGGCTGGCTAGCAGCCAGAAACGTACAGGTGGGGAGGCAGAAGGGAGGGCTGTTTACACACAGTGTGGAGAAGTGTGGTCTTGACTTCACAGAAGCAAGGTGCAGCTTTAAGTAGGCAGAACTTGAGAAGCCAAAACATAGTAGAAATAGATGCTATTAAAAAGCAAAAACTATGAAAAACAGGAAGCACTTGACTGAGGAACAAGGCACGTAAGGAGATGATACAAATCTAGTTTATTTTTTTTCTTCCTTAGATTTCACAAGCTTTGAAAAAATTTGGTACCTCAGCAAATGACACATCAGTTCTAATTGTTTACATCGAAGAGGGAAAAAAACAAATAAATCAAGAGTACCTAATATCTCAAGTAGAAGGTCTTCAGGTTTCTCTGAAAAATCTTCCTGAAATAACGAATATTGCAGAAGTCAAAAAGGTTTGTAAATTTATATTTAAGTGAATAATGCTGTTTGTTGATCAACAGTGCACCTCACCAGGCACATGCCTATAATCCCACCACTTAGGAGGCTGAGGCAGGAGGATCTTGAGTTCAAAGCCAACCTGCATTACATAGGGAGACCCTGACTCATAAACAAAAAAGCACATATTTGAGCTTTTAAGTAATGTTAACATTTTTAAATTACTTAATACTAATTATAAATATAACTGGGAGGTATAAAGTGTGGTTGGAAATGTATTTGATAATATTCTGCACTCCAAGAAAGTAATTCTCAAGGTTATATACATTTAGAATGTTGACTGTAGTATGAAATTAGTATATAAATGAGTTCTATTAAAATTGATAGAAATGCATTTTTATGTATAGAGAACTTTTTATGCTCATAACTACACTTTAAAGGAAATATATGAGATAAGCAGTGGAATCTTCATCTGCTTTGACTATTTTAATCATTTGTGATTCATCATTCCATACCATATAACTTAATAATTGAATGAAAATTTCACTTATAAATGTTGGCAGAATGACAGTAGTGCAAGAGTATATCAGAAAGATGTCATTTGTCTCTCATTTTTGCAGATCTATAAACTGTCTTCACAAGAAGAAAGCATTGGGACACTATTGGATGGCATCATTTGTAGAATGTCAACAAAAGATGTTTTTTGAAGTATTAGAGAAATACTAACAAATTATCAGCATTAAAGAAAACACTTGTTTTTTATTATCTCTACATCTCTGTATCTTTTCAAATGTATTTTGTATAATTAAAAGAAAAATTGCCTCATTTATTGAGTGCCTGCAATGCACTAAGTACAGCAATCTATATCCATTAGTTCACTCCTCACCCCTATTTCTGCCTACGCCAGCGCTTCCCTAACAAGCTTCTGGATCTTGTTTCTCAGTATTTTACATGTAAGAATTTAATTCCCACAGCAGGCATACAAAGTAGATGGTGTTTTTACCCTTACTTTTTACAGGGGCAGCTAAAAACGTAGAGTAAGGTCACATGCTAGTGTGAAGTAATTTTTGATAGATGATTGAATTTTCTTGTTACCTATGTTTTTGATTGTGTTAGTCAAGGTAGATTTGGTCAAGACTCAGCAAACTTGATGAGTGTGGTAGCACATGCCTTTGATCCCAACAGTCAGAACGCTGAGACAGGAAGATTGTTAAAGAGTTTGAGGCCAGCCTGGGCTGCATAGTGAGTTCAAGGCCACTGAACTACATAGTGAGACCCTCTCTCCCAAAAAAAAAATAATAATAATAATAATAAATAATAAAACAAAGGACTAAGCAAAGTGAAACTCTTCTGTGAAGAACCAGAATAAAAATTCTCCTCTTTGCAGACATAATCCACTGCAAATACTCAGCCACAAGTTTTAGTGCCCAGGCAGCCACAGACAACACATAAAGACATGCCTGGTGGGCTAGGGGTTTAGCTCAACAGCAAAGTGCCTGCCTGGCAAGCACAAGCTCATGAGTTGGATCACTGGTACCAAAAAGAGAGAAAAAGACTCATTTGAGTCCAAGTCAACCTTGAGAAACAAAAACAAGCTGTGGACAGGATTTACTTGGAGATTGATGGTTTATGAACCTGAAGGTTAGGTAGGCTGCAGTGACAAACAGTTTCTAAAGCTAGTTGGTTTGATACAATAGAAAATTTCATCTTATTCCACAGAGCCAGCATGAGTCAACAGGAAGGCTCACTGTGGTGACGTAGGTACCCAGGCTATGAGGACTTTGTCTCAGCCTGTGCTCCTGGGTCCCTGCTAGCTAAAAGGGAGCACAGTGAGTTTCTTAGCGGCTATGAAGCTTCCATTGGAAGTGACAGGTGTTGCTTATCTGTATTTTTGGAAAAAGGATCTTGCTATGTAGTTCAGGCTGGCCTGAAACTCATGGTAACCCTTCTGCCTCAGCCTCTGAAATGCTGAGATTACTGTGTTCCAAGTTCTGTGCCGAGTACTTTATTTACACTCATTTAGTCTTTGTGACAGCCCCAGATATATATGTGTGAGGAAATAGATTTAATCTCTCACCTCTATTTCACACCTCTAAAAGATTGCAAATGTATGTTATTGTTAGGATTTGCAAGGAAAACAACTACATACACAACACATAACTTACAGTATTATTTATAATGGTCATCCAAAGAGGTAAATACAAAGAAAGTATAGGAAATCTGTCCACAATACTAAAGACCTAGGAAATCCATCTGAGGGCCTGGATGAGTTTAGCTGAAAGCCTAGAGCCTACAATGACTCATGCAAGTCTATTTCTCGGATTTGTGCTGGGAAGGCCCAAAGTCAGCAGTGTGAAGGAGCTGTGCTAGCAGGCTGAGGGTTCTGTACTGGAGCCAAGAAGCAACGCTCAAAATAAAGACCAGGGCTCCCCTGAAAAGAACCACAGCCGCCATCAATGATGATCAGGTCCTGAGCTCCTCCAATGATGAAAAGAGCCAAGTACATATCAGGACGCCAGCATAACAAACTTCTGGAGATTAAATAGCACACAACTTCCCTTTTGGTGCAGGAAACAATGCTCAGTGTAAGGACCAAAGCTCCCCAAAAGGGAATTGCAGCCATTCTCGATATCTATTTTCCTACAGACTCAAATTTATCTTCCCTTGTGGTAGAATAGTACTCCATTGTCTATATAAATGCCATATTTTCGGCGTCCACTCATTTATTGATGTATGGTGGGTTTTCATCACTTTGTGTTCTGAGTGTCTTCTGTTTTTCCCTCCAGTCACTACCTTTCCTCATAGTACTCTGTTGTGGATACTAACCTAGATATACCTAGATACATGCAGCAAGAAGAACCTTTTTCTCTGGCTCTGAAGATGAGAGGGGAGTTGGCAGAATTTGGAGGAGGGAAAGACGAAGAGAGTGAGGCTGGTATTTATTCTGCCTTGACACTAAACTTTCTCTTCGGAAAGCTGCTCTGTTCCTCAGTCCAGTTCCTAGGACATCTGCTTCCCTGTGGCAACGTAGGTTTGGTTTGGTTTGGATTTTGATACAGCATCATGAGATGGATTCCAGGCTCCTTTTGAACTTACGTATCTCAGGCAAGCTTTGAATTTACAGTGATCATTTAGTCTCAGCTTCCCAAGTACTGGGATTAGACCTACGTAAACGTGTTTGACATGGTTCCTGTCTCAGCCCATTTCCCTTTCCCCATGGCAGCTTCCTAATTCTACCTTTGATTATCTACAGTTATCTTCATTTGAGTGTTGAGATCTGATATCCTCTCCCTTAGAGAATTTGTTAAAAGGCCAGGTGAGAGCATCATTTCTGTATACTGTCCTAGGATTTGTGAACACCTTGTAACAGAAAATGATAGCCACCTCCTGCAGCCAGTATATTTCAGTTTCTTAGTTGCCTAGATAACAGTTCCAGTTCCAATTCCCATTGCTTCTGTCTCAGAAATGAGAAGCTGTCTGATCACTATGGTACACATTGTATAAACCAATACCCAAGTAACAAGTCATTCTGCTTCTGTTCTTCCTGCTTGCCTCTCCCATATAAGCCCTAGACTACCAGAGATCTGGGCCTGATATTCTGGGAATGTTCCTAATTAGTGCCTGTCAATGTGCATAAATTTGCCCCCAAGTCCTGGGTGTTGTTTTGGTGTTTCTGTTTGCCATTGCAACTTACCAAGAATAACTTACTTGTCAACTCTTTCTCCCTTGAAATGATGAGCTGTGTTTTTGTTTCATTCATCTTCTCTAAATTCTGAGTTCTCACTGGGATCCAGCAGGTTTTGTAAATAAGGGGGAAAAGGGTTAAAGGGAGAGGAAGGGAAGGGGAAAGAAACAGGGAGCAAGATATATCATGTACAGTTGCAAATTCCAATGATGAATGTTACCATTATATGTATCTAAAAATGTACCAATAAAATAAATTTTTTAAAAAATTTAAATTTAACTAAAATTTTAAACTAACTAGTGGAAGGGCTTGAGATAGAGTAGCTGGACAATTAGCCATACTGATAAAAATCAGGACTAGACAGTGAACTAGGACTTTGGACCAAGATTGTTATTTCCTCAGGTAGCATGGAATGCAGCCCACTCTCTACAAAGGGAGGTGCAGACATTCCGTTCTAAGATCCTGAATTTCTACAAAATTGTACTGCACATTAACCAGTTTCTTCTGAGATTCCAGTTTATTATAAACATGCTGTGAAAGAACTGAGCTAAAAAGCCTAAGTCCCAATGGATCATTTGAAATCTCCAGAGTCATCTGTGATAGGTGACCACTAAACAAGCAATTTATGTCCACTACTTGCGTGTAAGCAATTCCAATGGCAGGGCTATGCAGCTACCACATTTGGGACCTGTCCTAGAAACCCAGGAGCTTTTTTGTTCTCCTTGTTTCCAGTAACAGTGTCCTAACCAGGAAGGAAGGAAAGACAAAAAGGGAAAAAAGAAAGGGAAAGAAAGGAAGAAAGAGAAAAAGAAGAGAGGAAGAAAAAGAAAGAAAAGAGATATAAAGAAAGAGAAAAAAAGGAAGAAAAAGGCAGAGAGGGGAAGGTGAATACAAGGACTCACCCAGGGTTTATTGTCCCTTGGACAAGATAATGTGCTGGCAGGGAGAGGCACACATATGACAGACTTTCTTTTTGATTGGGGAACCCAGATTATCTTGCTTGTTGAAGAATCCCAAGGTGACCAGCAGAGTCCCAACGATCCTAGCAAAACTGTGCAGGGGACCAGAGTGGACCTCAAAGAAGACCTAGTATGCTGAGCTGGAGGTCCTGTGTCCTAAAGAAAGCAGGAGAGGGGTGACAAATGCCCCAGGAGAGTGAGGACCTGTGGACCCATCCAGAGCCTCCTTTCTCCAGGTTACTTCTGCAAGGATCACAACCGTGAGTGGACTTGGACTCCATGCTTAGTCACAGCCCAACTCTGACCTTGGAATTCGTGGTTATCATGTAACCACAAGAGCCAATGAGGTGACACCAGGTCTGCTTCTCGGAGCTGGGTAGACCTAGAGAGTGTCTTCTGAAAGCCAGTTGGAGGCTGAGGGCTTGGGCCACTGTCTATACTGTGAGCACTGTGGTAGAGCAGGTAAGTGGACACGGGTGCAAGATCAGGGGTCTCAATATGAATAGGAGTCCCTGAACACTTCTGGGGATCTCAAAGCTGGTCCTTTGTTTGTTTTTCTTGTGATTTTCTCATTAGCGTTTTCAATAGCCTAAAACTTTACAGTCATGACAAGAAAAATTTCTTGATTCTTGCTTGGGGACACAAGATTTCTGAAATGGAAGGAACCAAGGGGAGGGAGTAAAGTCCTGGAAACGTGAGATCTGGCTGCCACAGAAGCCATCCCAATACCCCAAGAAGCTCAAAGAGACTGTGATAGGGTAATGAGCATGGAGAGGAAGACAGTACAGATGCCACATTTTTTTAATTTTATTTAAGGAGAAAAAAGAAAAACAAATAGGGTGCAAGTTATACAGAATTTCAGAAAAAATAAACAGTAGGAAATCACTAGTTAATTACATATTGTCATCTTAGAAATAGTTGTTGAAGTTACAAAATTAAAGCATATATAGGGGACTTTCAAACAGTGAGACTGCAGTTTTGTTCGATGATCCAACAAAACTCAGTAATATGGTTATCTATCTTATATACTTAAATATATATGCAGTTATATCTTTTAGAGAACTTTCTTTCCTTTCTTTTGTACAAAGACAATTACACATTTTGGGTTTTATTGCTCCCACAGTTCTTATTAATTTTTTTTTTGAAGAGAGTAAAACCAAATGTGACATACCAGGACAGAG